ATAATAAATCCAAGTTGATTAAATTAAATTAGTAAATACAATTATGTACACGAAACATTGTTTTTTGTAAAATTCTCAGTTTTATTATTTCGCTTATTAAAATACATAATATTATAAAGCCCCTTGTTATATCTTATACGTATACGCACGTAAGATATAATTTTTGAAGTCATTAATAAAAGTAAATCAAATATTATTTGAGTTGATGAGTACACTGAATGTGTTTACTTTGATATTATAGCAATGCTATAGAATGTGAATTTAAAAACTTGAACCTCAATGGATTTAGTTGCGTCACTGTCTACAACTATATCTACATTGCGATGTATATATTGTGTATGTACACGGGTGATCGGTGGTGTAGGTATTCATATTGGGTGGTCATATACCTACTCATATTATATTGGCACCACGATGGCCCCGCCCGATCCGCTTTTAAATAGTAAAACAGTAGTCGGTGCATACTACTTATTATGTCATACATTATATATTTGTATATGCATAAAATTAAACGCGTGTAAGATATGTGTTCGAGACATTAAATTCTCGTCCAAATGTGCTACCGCAGCGACTATAATATTTCTGTTACGAATATTAATAGAATAATGCATGTAGGTATAATAATAATTAAAAAAAAAAAAAAGCGATTGCTCGATAGAGTTAGTTTGCCGGAAATCGGCGTCAACTTGTCGTAATGCTGCACCCGGGCAGATGGTACCTAAATGTATTAATGACGACATGGATTTCGTAATCTGGCGATGTAAAAAATTCCGATTCGTGCGCAGTGTTGCGGCCAATCGTTCAGTAGCAGTCCGTAAAATTCGTACAAATTATACGCATATTAAGACACGATTAAGTCTCGTCAGAATTTGTCAATGATCATTGTGATTTTCAATGACTTCGTTAATAATTATTAAAGATGTGGATGATGAATCATCATCATTGATGATAAATAACTGTATTTAGACATGGTATATAACAAGTGTTAAATAGGTATAGTATAGTATAGGTATCGTTCGATGTACTAATATTTTATATTATATATATAGCTATGTCTTATACCAGAGATGGTAAGTAGGATTTGTTAAACAACACATTAATTTATGACACAATTAAAAAAAAATGCATCCGGAATATTATTTCAAATTTTGAACATTGTGGTGTTGTCAACACCGCAATCTGTTTTTTCGTTATGTATTCGACGACGTTTCAATTCTTTAACATGTATTCGCACACTACTCACAAATTTATTTGTTCTGATTGGATTAGTTTGCGAATCGAATAACTGCATTTCTATAAATTTTCTAATTGCATCCAATTAATAGGCAATAATTATTAAAATCTTGCATATAAAATAAATCGAGATAGTATTAATAATTTTTATCAATTTTTCAATTCTCTTAAAATTATGAAATCTTTGTAAAAACTCTACTTTAAATCAAGAACATTTGAAAATCATCAGTAAAATTCCAATTTGTTCGTTCAAAAATGTCCACTTTACCTAACATTTTTTCAGTCTTGAAAAATATACAAATTTTTCAAATTTGATATAATTAATATACATATCTATACTTTAATTACTTTTTATTCAAAGTATTTTAATTTAATATTACATCTATAAAAAAACATCAATTTTGTTAGCCGCTTTGTATCATAAAGTTTTTTAAAATTGGTTTTATTTGTATGTAAAAATAGTTGAATTTTGTCCGAACAATTTACAAATGTATCTAACGGTATAGCTCGGTTTATGCAACGTACACTATTACATATTAAAATAGTATCATATTTTTTAGAGTTGACATAATATAAAAGCTTTTTAAATTGTTTTTTATGCATATCGCGAGAAAAATTAATAATTTTATTTACTTGTCTGACAATTCTTTTTAATCATTAGTGTCGACTTTGGAACACTACATTTGCTGATGTATGATGCAGTATGTAATCCAATTAATGGATGTCCAACATGCTTTTCACATAACTTATTACTTCCCCAGTTCTATCCGTCGTAACAGAAATAATGTTTTTTTTAGATTAATGTTAAGTTTCTTTAATTTATTGACGACAACATTACAAACATCTATACATACCTTATTTAGTTCTTTCCGGTATATTAGATAATTTTAAAAGTTTCTCACGCATTTTATTTGCTTAATCCTGCGAAAACTGGTAATTTACCAAATGACTTTATATCAGTTGTTTCATCCAAATAAATCGAGAAAAATCACTATTATTAATATCAGTCTGCAGAAGTTGATCAGAAATATTGACAGTAATTTTTAAAATTTTTTCTTTAACAGTTTTTATACTCGGATGTAATTCTTGAATTATTAGAAATATTTTTTTAACATTATTATTAAAATCTTGAAACAACTACGAGTAGGAGGAGCAACTTTTAACATGATCGTTTTTAAAAATTCGTCATCAAAAAATAGCTTTGAGTGTATAACGATATATATAAAAATTCACTTAATAAATTATACTGATTTTCAATTACTTTCAATCGCTGAGAAATAACTTCTTTTCTTTTGGCAATATTTAACTTGGACATTTTTTTGTAGTTCGTTTCTAAATGCCGTTTGGTAGAAAATGTCAGAGATACAGCAATTTCAGAGCACAGACCGGATCGACTTATATCTCCATATTTAATAAAGCCACATTCAATTGGTCTTGTTGGTAAAATATTTCGAACATCCTTTAATTTTTATTTTTTGGTAGGTAATATTTTGAATAAAAACAAGTATTAATAACGTAAAACTCGCACACAGTCGTACTCTCTCAATACACAAACGATAACTGATTAGATATTAATTAATAATTTGTCTATATACTTCATGACACAGAGTCCTAGCACAAAATATTAATAATAATAAAGATAACAATAGGTACGTCGTTGTGAAATATAGATTATTATTACTTGTAAGTGTAGTAAATTGATAATTCAGTTTTGTTGATATGTAATATTCGTATAATATATTACTTAAATATATATATATTATATTAACACGTCACGAAAGTGTTTAGGGTGCCATCGAAAATTTCCCCTGTACCAAGCTTAGTATGCATACCACTTATTTGCCATCCCTGTGTTATGGTATAATTTCGTTTATTTTTAAGCTATACTCAGTTAAGGCCTAAGAGCGTCCGTAGAGGGGAACATAGAGGCCAATGTCCTACTGAAATTTGATTCCAGTTGTATGTAATTTATAACACACGCATATTGTATGTGATACACTATATTGCAGTGTTCAAAATATATTTCTAGAACAAAACATTTTTCTAAGTTTATAACATTCGTGATAAATTTGTCGATTTTGCCCTGCAGAATGAAATTTTATTCAGCGGATCTGTTTCAATACCTACGGCTTGTTTATCCGACATTTTAAAATTAAAAATTGTAAAAATCATATTTGTTTTTAATACCTAATCATATTTCCTATAACTTAACTGTTATTTATGGTTTATTTTTAATTTTCGACTAAGATATAGGTAAACGTTATGAAAACAATCGGGCGTGGCTCTGTTGCTCATCTGTAAGTTTGTCTTTGTTTTAAGAGAATTTAGGACGAATAGATATCGCTTATAAATTGTAAAAATTTAAAATTAACAGATATAATGCTTTATTAATAAGTAATACGACTTCACTCATCAATTGATAAAAATAGTATTAACTAATGAGTATGCGAACTGTCACGTATGTTTTGCTGGACGAAAAGCTCAAAAGCACATAATATATTTTATAGTGTGTTTATTAGTCTTTGAACTGTATTTTACTGAAGATTTTAAATTTAATCATATATATGTATCCAGCAGTCAAATGTCACCCAAACATATCATAGATTTATCTATTACAATGAGGTTATATCACTTATAAATTTATAATACATAGTTATTGATTCTCACGTCAGCCAATATAATTAATAATTATACAAATTCCCTTTTGTATAATAATGAAATTGTTTTTTTATTATTACTTTGACTTGCTTTCAGCTATATTCTATCACATATTTATAATCAATTAATACGTTTTCAAAACAAACCATAGGTACACTCGGGTAGATATACTATAGGGAGTATACCGGTGTACACAATATATTCGGCATGTTTTAAACAGTATACTTTTTTCCAAATAATAAATATTATATATATTTAATAGTTATTAATGTTTTGAAGAGAATAATTTTTTATATGGGTTTTGGTTTACCAAAATAATAATATTTAATTATTTTTTTTCACGTAGGTAACGACCGGACAAGTGATATGTTTAAAAATGTTATACTTGCTGTATGTGTGTGAGTATATAAATATAATACGTAAATAAACTTTCTTCAATTGTATATTGAACCATGCATATCAATTCTTTACCTATTATAAAGTTATTTTATAATAATTTAAACGGGCGTAAATATATATATTATATGATATTTATATTAATCAGTATTTATAATTGTTGACATTGATTTAAAAACAATTATTTTTTTGATTGTCTACATACATATTATACATTAATATTATATATATATATATATATAATACTTTTTTAATTAAAATAATGAATTGGTTACATAATACATTCTATTATATGTATTATTATTATACTAAATCATTATTATTTTATACTGTTCAAATCGTCTAAAATTTAAATTATCAAACAATCAAAGTTTGAAACTGTATGCACGAATATATTGAAATTAAAAAGAAAAAATTCCTAACATATAAATCACATAAAATATTTTAATGATATAAAATTATTTATTTTACAATTTTCATGAATGATTTTTGAAATTATAATTTATATAAATATATATAATTTGTATATTTAATTTTTTTTTTTAATATCAATTTTCAATTTAATTAGTCAAAAATGTATTATGTACCTTACGTATATAATATTATACACAGTATATAGTTGTAAATAGTATAAAATCGTGAAAAACAATTTCTTATACTTTTCAAATTTATCAATTGATAAGATCTGTAATATATATTATATCAAATACCTATAGGACGGAAATATATTTTTATTGTTGTAGAATAACAAAATTATAATGTGTTAAGATAAAATCAAAACTTTTAACGATTAAAATGAGCCAAACTCATCTATCCATGATTGATATTTTTCAATATCTTGACTGGTAACAGTTTTTCGACACCTCTCGATAGCTTCGTCAAAATCTTGGACCGTTACTGGTAAGTCTATGTCGGCACGTTTTATATTCTTAATTTGGTCCGGGGTTTGTCCGACGATCTTACGCCTCATACCCATCATAGCTGCATCCCGGCAAACGTTAGCTATGTCAGATCCTGTGTAGCCTCTTAATTTATTGGCTACGAATCTATAATCGAAGGAGTCGTCCAAATTTACACCTTCCAAGCACAGTTTCAACAATGTTATCCGCGACTCGTCTGGTAATCAATAATTTATATTTTATTATTTATAGGCCTTAAAACTTAAATTACAAGTTGTGGAGTATATTTATAAATTATAATCAAAAAATATAAAATATTTATAGACATACATCGACAAACAAAACTGTTGATACGATTAGTACAAATATAAACTTGGCCCGAGATTATATCTTCGTTTATAAAATACTGTTTGTAAGTTCAACTCGAAAATAGACGTTATTGAAAAAAATTGATTAAAATGACTCAAAAACATGATATATTTTAGAATTTTAAAAACAACTTTTAAAGAAGTCGAAAATTATGGTATGACAATTTAAAAATACATATATAATTTTATAATTAATATAATTATTGTTTTGAAATAAAATAAAACGTGCTGTATAATAGGTGCTTATTAAATAATTTAACATATTAAATTTTTCATATATTACAGTACGACAAAAAATATTTTGGAAAGGTGTAATGAATATAATGAGCACCATCATTTATAATGTTTTAATAGTTTTCGTGAAAAACGAAATAGAATCCAATTTATTATCCTTATATTATAGAGCCAAATTTAATCAAACAAATACTATTAATATTTAATTTGACTACAGATAATTTTAAAATTTATATATTTTTATTTAACCCGTTGTATGAAATATACAATTACCATTTGGTAACGGCAAATATATTCTCTTTTCGAAGCGTCTTCTGAAAGCGTCATCAATATCCCATGGATGGTTAGTGGCTGCCAGAACCATGATAGATGGGGTATTTTCTTCGTCACTATATTATAATGGTGTAAATAGTTTTTTTTTTTTTTAAACAAAAAATGTCACGTATAATCATTTATTAGTGTCTAGAAATATTCACCTGGACGAGTTTAAGCCATCCATGTGAATCAAGAGTTCCGCTTTAAACCTCCTAGACGCTTCGTGTTCGCCTTCGGAACCCCGTAAGGAACACAACGAGTCTACTTCGTCTATGAATATTGTTGACGGCGAATGAATTTTTGCCATTTCAAACAACAGTCTGACCAATTTCTCTGATTCTCCTCGGTATTTAGATGTCATCGTAGACGAGGAAACGTTGAAAAACGTCGTCCCGCACTCGGTAGCTACAGCCTTAGCCAACATTGTCTTCCCGGTACCGGGCGGACCGACCATTAAAACACCCTTCCACGGTCTCCGGATGCCCTACAAACCCAATATCGAAATTAAACTACACATATCAGCGGTAAGTATAGGCGCCTAGTATAGTATAGTAGTACATATACGATTAAAATTTAAATTATAATTAAATTGTAATTTATATCAGTATGGAATATTGTCTTAACTCTTAATAGTATACACTAATTATTAATCGTGAATTTGGAAACACGAATAGAATAATATTTTGTCATTTTGATTAAAATAAAAGAAATGAATGATGCATGTTATATTATGATAAAGTCAAACTATAATAACATTATACCATGACATCATAGTCTATAGGTCTATGTTTTTATCTGAGGACCATTTATAAGCTGAAACGTTTTAACTTTTAATATATTATAGAAATCATGATATATACATAACAATAACATTTAATATAAATATTGCTAATAATGTTCATACAAATCTTAGAAAATTTATTAAATTTTATATTAGTATACGAGCAATTCCAAATATCACGGTGTCATGAATAATTTTAATAAGTACATAATCATTATCAATGGATATTTTAATTAGACAATATTTATGAATCTCTGTATATTTAATGATGATTTATTGATTAAACTGAATATTAAATGTTTAGTTATCGATCATGACTAATCGTTGATTTTTTACATATTTTATATATTACATATTACATCTCAATACTGTATTGCGATATTTATAATAGATATAACATATATATGAAAGCTATAGCTTTGTACTTTTATAAAATTTAATCTATATGTGTCAAGGTTATAATTAATTTGTTAAATATGAATATTTTTATTTCAACATAATAATACTTATTATACACAATGTATTTACGAACCTTAAAAAAATCTGGCATCAGCATCGGTAACACCATGGCTTCTTGTAATAATGTTTTCGCATGCTTCAAACCAGCGATCCGATCCCACTGGACATTGGGATTTCTCTGTAAAATGTCTTTTTCAATAATGTCTACCAAATGAGGTTCGTAACCAATGACGGTTTTGGTTTTCTGTGGTTGTTTTTTATATTCTGTTGGTCGAGGAGCCGTCGATGGCGTAGGATGATGATGAAGTGGTGGTATTACAGGTTTTGTTCTATATCCACCAGGATGTGAACAACACCTTTCAACACGAACGCAAAATATTATTTATGATAAGATCGTCTGGTAGTATTAAAATCCTCATTTACCTATCCCTTTTTGGGTGTATGGCGGGCAATAGCTCTGGATCTCTTTTTCTTAAAGAAGCAGCCCATTTCTCGGATGGACCGTTTGATTTATATTGTTGCTGATTATTACCGTTAGAATGATTATCTAAATATAATATTTTAACTTTTAGCTGACAATTACAATAGTTAAGTTAAAATTGTTTTATTTATTAAATACATATCTTACCATTATTTGCGCGATTAGTATTGGATGCAAAGTTTTGTGTCTGCGTTTGTTGTGACGAGGATCTGTAAAGGTGTGATCGTTTTGATGATTGGTTTGTTCGTCGAATGGGTTTAGAAAATGACGCAAATGATGAAAACGGATCTAACAATGAATCCATCATACGAGCAACTTCTTGTTGAACTATCCATCCTGACGGTCTATTATTAGATAGCCTGATTTAAAAAATAAAGTAAAACAAATTAATATTTAAAATATTTAAACCTAAATCGAAATAAAATTAACCACAATATTCATAACTGCAACAATATAATATATTATATCAGCCAGCTGCAAGTCAAAGTATGCTGCCGAACACAATTTATTAAAATAACTAATACTTATTATAATATTACTGTGGATTAATGAATTTCACTTCCTCAAGGGATCAAAAACTGTAGAAAAATTTTTCAACGAAACCTAAACAAAGCGTTCTTGGAATTAATTTACAAATCTATAATACTTAGTATACATATACAATTTAGCGTCATATGAAAGACATTTTTACAAGCATTGCTCAACTTAAAAAAAGCTTTTAATAAACAGAACTTTTCAATAAAAACTATAAAATTACATTATTTCAATAATACAATTGAAATATTAGGACATGGTATACTAGCCTTAACAATAATAACACAAAAGTAATTACAAAATTCAAACAACCCGAAACTTGAAAAGTTTTTTTTTTTTAGAATGTGTTCTAAATACAGACAACGAATCAAAATATTTTTCAAATTGTATGCTCAATAACATATTCAACAAAAAGAGGCAAAAATAAAATACTAATAAATACAAATATGAATACAAACGACCTTTTATGGTATTAAAACATTTAAAACAAAATTTAACTATCAAATTATTATCTATAGATATCCTATATCTTTACTCGACCAATAAACCTTACAACTTACCTCGAACTAATATTTTAATTTCTAAATATACTTACATGTAATATAAGAAGACTATCAGTATAAAAGAAATACACATCCACCATATTTATGAATTCTATATTATCATTTCGAATAAATTATATTTAATTTATCGCGAATGAACATGTATAAATTATTATTAATTATTATCTCAATTATTTTTATTATTGATATTATCATTATAAAAATAGTAACAATACTACGGTAGATGTAATATAATATTATATACTATATCAGGCGGCTAATGGCTATTAACTAAAGCATGTCACTAAAAATAATTTATAATATAATGCATATAAAATTACATAATATGTACAATGTACTTTAAGGATAAATAATATTAAAATATAAATAATAACTATGAAAAGAATCATATCAGTATTCCAGAGCGTTTAGATAAGACCCTTTAACCCTATATAACGTAGAGTATTACGTTAATATAAGTGCGTACTTATGTCAAAAACATATAATACAATTATTTCAACTTTCAATAAAATATTTGATTGAAAAACACTAAAAATAGAAATACCTTGACGTTTCAGTGTCATTTCTGACAATTCATTAATAAAAATTGGTTGAAAATTGATTTAAATGAAATGTCATTTTCGTGGGTACCTAAATATTATATTATGATGATACTAAAAAATAAAAATCATAAATAAAAAAATGACGCATAACTTAATAAATATAATAAATATGACTATAATATTTGAAACCAGTTATGATAACTATTCAACAAAAACATACGCGAATTTGAAATTGTCTGCACATTTTAAGCTTCTAACTTTTATTATTGTTATTATAAATTTATAGTTTTAAGCTATTTACAACTTAAACGACTTATTAGAGTGACTTACATTTTAAATAATTTATAAAATGCTAAATAGTTGTGCTTCATAATTTGTATAGATTTAATCACTATAAACGGTAATTCACTTGTACTCAATTATTAAATTTTATTTTATTTTTATCTACCAACGTATTGTCTAAAAAAAGTTGGTCACCATTTCACCAAGTTTTGTACTTTATAAATAAATAAATATTATAATATATAGCTTATACTATCAGCGAAGATGATTGCTGACAATCAGCATTGTTCTATCATAGTACAAAATAAAGGTTTATAAATATTATATTATGTCAAAATAATCGTGATTTTTAAATTATCTACATTATAAGTATTAAATATAATTATTTACTTATTTATTTCAATATTAACTGTGCGCACTTACTAAGTTACTTAAGTCAGAACACAAAAAAAAAGTGTATATGTAATGTGGGTAAACAAATACAATGCAAATGTTATAAATTTAGTGGGATACTTACTGAAAAAATGGATCATTAAAAAAAGGATTATTATGCATATCAATCAACGTTATATTTTAATAAATTAAAAATTTGTATAAAATAAATTATATATATATATATGTATATATATTTTATAATATGAATAACATTTGTTGAAATGAATAAACGTGAATAAAACATGAATATAATATATAGGTATTATGGTATTCGTTCATACTAAAACGATAGTATAACAAACGTGTAGCCATAGTAATGAAACATGGTTACGGATAATGGGTCGAAATCACAATGAAATAACTAGGTACCACCTATATATACGATATTTCTATTAAATTTTACTTAATTTGAAAACATACCTATTAAACATACGTACTGTGTTGATGATGAATAAAAAGTTTAATTATGTTACATAAACATTTAAATTGATAAGTTATAACCACATAATAACGTGTAACTATATAGTTTAGAGCTATAAACAAGATTCTATAGAAATAAAACTAAAATGTTTTGTTATTATTTCATAATTTTAAAACTGTTATAGGAAATCAGTTTTATTCTTCAATAATTGAAGAATAAAATTATTGGCGGCCAAAAGAAAAAATGTGTATATACATCAAACAAGTATCTAATCATTTTGTAGATATAAAAATTATGATAATAATAATTTATTAATTTTATACAGTCTTAACCCGTTTTAATTTCAAACCTAAAACTTAACCAAAAATTACTTTATTTTAAAACATATTGGCGTCCTTATTTGAATATAAACAACAGGAACAGGAATGTTATAATAGGTCAAAAACACTTGTCACGCAACTCTTTTTCTAAAAAAACTCATACTTTGGTATAGATATCAACCAAAAAGGAAATGCCGAATTTCACTTCGCCATGTCATACGCGTGCCTGTAATTTCATTGACCTCCTCTGGCCCCAACACCGATCGATAAACTTTATATGTTTCTTTATAAGCAAACATAACTGACACTTTTTTGACATAAGTAAGTTTATATTTTTATACCAAATGGACGTTTTAAGTACAATATTGATTATATTTAATTAATTTAATTATTCCAGTTTTTAATATGAATTATTAGCTGGGTAATTAATTGTTAATTTAAATACAAACTTAGAAACTTTTTCTCACACATAAAATATATTTTTAAATATTCAACAATTTTTAAATCGTATTTAAATACATCGACATCAGTTTTTAACTTTCCTTACTAAAATAAGTTGACAAAATGTTTTAATTGGCTCATAAATGAATAGTCATTTTATAAACCCATACTACTTTTTAATAAGTTCTCGTCTATCAACATTTTGTACACTTATATCATAATTATTTAATTTGATGACTACTATTATAAAATTATAAAGTTTTAAGAATTCAATGTATATTTGACTGAATTATAATATATGTCTGAAAGATACTTCTATATCGTCGAATTACAATATAAAAAACTGAATATATACAATTACCTAAATTATGTTGTCCGTTAAATATATATTTATATTGTAACTACAAAGATTTATATTATAAATAGATACATAATAAATAATAAATTCTAATGAATATAAATGATTAATTAATATTTAGAAATAAAGTCATCCTTAAGGTACCTATGAATTTTAAGTTGTTAATTTTCTTAAAACTTAAAAATAACTAAATATATATGTTGAAATGTTGAATAATTACATTGTATATACCGGATTTTTTATAGATAAAATGATTAAGTGTATAATCATTATCCAAAAATAATAATTCGGCAGAATATTTATAAGAATATTGTTTAATTTAATAACACTTCAATTTTATTTTACAGACAACCTTTTGGGGAATGGAAAGTCAAATAAACTCAAAAGACATGCGGCTCAAGAAAATATAATGTTATTGACATACAAATTCAAAATGTAAATGTGTTTATTAATTTATAATTGTATATATTATTGTGTTATGTATAATGAAAATAATAATTGAGTGCAAATCAACTAACAATATACTCGCATATACGTATGCGAAGTTGAATTGGCCTGTACTTCAGATAATAATAATAACAATAATAAAACGATGAATTAATTTAACTCGAGATATTCGAAAGCTGTCCTTAAATTGTGACAAAATAAATTATCGCTATGTCAGCAAGTATCAGCTATAATACACGACTTTTTAAAAACGAAAAATGTTTTTTTAACGGCGCATTAAATATGCAATTTAGCAACACACCTGAGAGAGAAATCAGGCATAGTAAATATAATAAATAATATTATATTTTTATTACAATAAAAACGACTTATGATCAATATTAATTATAAAATATTATACGATATAGGTAAAAATGTAATGTATACCATTCGTTTTTGATCTATACCACGAACATTGGTAAGTTATTCTCAACATCCATATATAATATACAATCGTACCTATTTTATTAATAATCATAATATTATATGTATTATTAGAGCCGATAGTTGACGTTTTAGTCTTGAAGATCTCAACTAAAAAACTGTACGAAAAGATCCGTTGTTTCTCGATTCGTCTCTGAGAGGGTGTGAATTTGCGGTAAGGGGTCGAGCGATAACAGACGTTTGTTGATGACTAAACTTAATGTGTTAATAATCGTACCAGTAAAAAACCGTTCGTCGTGAACCATCGAAATGCTACTATTTAAACATCGCGATAAAAGCAAGACACGTTCCGAATTAAAAACGTTCCAAATATTTTCGGGTCGGTCGGTTTTTCTGCAGCACATATCAATATATCGTTATCATCACGAAAACGCGTTTGATGGGATATGACAATTATTGTGACCAGATATCTGTAATAGAATTCGACCTAAATACGGATACTAAATGGCTATACATATGCTATACAAGTACAGCCACAGAAACCCGTTACGAATAAATCGTGCTAAAATATAAAATCGTATAACGCGCTAAGATCTGACATTACGATATAGCAATCATAATATTATTCTCGTCTAACGAGTCGAATTCTGCGCGACACGAGCACGTGGAGTCCGCGGTCTCGAGTTACTTTACGTATATTAAATATAACATTACCCCGGAGGAAGTTTGTACAAGTGTCTCGTGGTGACCGGTACGGTCATCTGTATCTCGAACTCGACGTTTCGACTACCTTCGGACATGGTGGTGTTGTGGCTACTACATTATAATATAATATTAATATATGCACTGCCCAAGTGGACACGACCCCGGCGCGTGCGCTTGTAAAAAAAATGCGTGACGGCCGTGACGCGGTTGTCCAGCACGCCATGGTGGTGGGTCGACGGTTTCAGACGACTCGCGTAGGTCGTTGTCGGCGAACTGACCCCCCCTCACTTTTACCATACCTACATTATCACCACCTCCACCGCCATTACCGGGTGAACGCAGGTGTTATATCGGACCTCCAGTTAGGGGGTAGCGGCCACGGCGGCGGCGAGAACGTTGCCCCCGAGCACGATTATATATATATAATTACCACCAAGTCCGATGTTATGCCACATAACGACATTGCGAAACGATTGTAATAACGCACGAAACTACGATAATCGTTTAGTTGAGGGTACACATCGATCACCGAGTATTAAATGATATCACTAGTTCAAATCTTGCGCGTAGAGGTCAATGGTACGTGCTAATAAATAACAGAAGTCGGCCCGGTAAATTTAAGTTTCCCCGCGATCGAAAGCATCGTAAATGACCGATGCAATGGCATTTTCCCGCCAATGAAGATCCGTGCGAACTGCAATAATGAATGCATTTTAATAGTTCACAAATCGCGCAGGTATAATATAGACAGGCGTGATTTAGCACGTTTTTTTAGTAATTACGCAACGATACAGAGTTTCGATCAAATTCATCAAAGTTATTTTAAAAAATGCATCAATTCCGTATGACATTCGATGTCTACTTCATTATTTCCATGAATTTATCATGTCTATAAATACTGTGAGTAATGTATTTTATATACACAATATATACTTTACAACCTATATGCGTACTATAATATATTAAATAGGTTTTCTCATTTCGAACAATTTTATTGATTTCAATGAAATGAAATTAGGTTAGAATGTAAAATTAATTTATACTTAAATGCCAAATGGATATAGTATTATAAGTAAATTAACAGTTTCCACTTTTTATATTCGATTGACAATTCGGTTAGATATTGCAAGTTAGTATATGAATTACAATTGTACTTAGCATTAAATAATTTTTATTTTTACAACTGATATATACTGAAATAAAATCATAAAGAGTTAAAGTTATGTAAGAAGTTATATTTTTTGAAATATTAAGTGTAGACACTTCAGTGGAACACCATTAGTAATCTTAATTTTCATGCAAGCTACCAAATTCTTACCAATTTAACAATCTTTCTATTAATAATAACTGTAATTCTAATTAATAACTAAGTATGATAATATCAAGAACAAGTGCAGGAGCGGTGAATTCTTTACAATTAAAACATCAAATTTGAATTTATATCTGTGGTATGATGCTTAAAAGTTAAAAACTAATCGTACAAGTTATAGATATATCACTATTCAGTATTCACACAATATATCGGCACTCTCGTAGTTACCCTAAACGTGGTTACCCGATTTTCACACTACTTAAAAAAATAAAAACTGTTAATGCAGCCGATAATCTGTATCATAATACCCGTATCCATCGATAGGAGGTAGGTCCTGCAATCCATTCAAACCTGCAGCCGGTCCACCGCCGATGGTAGCGATCGTAATCGAGTGAGAATGGCTTTGAGCGGCAAACACTTTGCGCCTCTGGTCTGCGGTTAGTCCGTCAAACTGCACCATGTCGACCCGTCCTTTGCAGTTATACACATCGAACGTGTTGACTAACTGCACATTGACCGGAAGGAACGCAATACATTATTATAATATATTATGTATGTGTAGGTATATTGAACAGCTTTTGTGATAAACGCCGCGGGGTGCGTTGAACCGGCCGCCGCTACCACCACCGCCGGAACCGGCAAAACTGAAGACTTAATATGTAATAAAAAGTTATTGGCCTACGTCAAACACAACGACGCATCGAGGACTATACTTGCGGAGTGAATAATTAATAAAAAAAGGAAATATACATCATTTGTGTGAATGTGTGTGTGTGTGTGTGTGTAGTGTATAGTGTGTATATATAACTCGACTTTATTTAAGGCACGCCAAGGAAGACAACCGAACGTCGACCTAGTGAACGCGATTTTTATTTGTATATACATAATATATTTTATAAATATTTGAATACAATAATAATATAATAATATGTATGTGTGTAATAATTTTTTTATTTACGAGTAAGTTTATATAAATGGCTTTAAAAGTACTCGATTATAATACGCCGAATTCGATATCCGATTAATGCCAACGTTTTTGTTATGAACTCAAACCCGTGTATAAATAGAAGCAGAATAAAACGAATAAATCATTCAATGCACGTGACTCTTGGGCGGAGGGTTAAAATGTAAACAAATTTTCGCTTGCAAAATCTTTGCGGTATTTCCATTTACCCTTCACCAACTATCCATATAACACGTCTTAAATACACGACCGGAGGAAGTGCGAAGATTCTTCTTAATTATTCGTAGCTATTAATTTTTTTTAACCTATAATAATATGAGTGTTTCGTGGGCAATAAACACACTTTAACAATTTAACAATTAAAACGTATTGTAATAAATAATAATTCATAAATTATTAGTATAGTTTTATTGTATATGTATTATGTACCTATTGTACATTGTAAAAATATAGGTACGTAAATACGTATAATAACTAATAATTACCTAATAATGAATTGCTTGTTTTTACTGTATGTGCGCCTGTATACAATAATTGTTATAAACGACCTTAACGCTTGGTAAATACTTTACAGTTAGTTTAAATAAATATTAAATGCCTATTTAAATATAACTATTATTTAAAATAAGTCATTATACATCATTACTCTTCTTAAAAAGAGCAATGAAGACTTTTTAGTCCGACAATAATGGTCTTCGGATATTGTTTGATTGATTACGTCTTCATATTTTTTACTAATTTAATTCAATGACATATTCACAGCAAAAATATTATTGTTAGATTCATTACCATAATAGACTTTAAACAGCTTAAAACAAAAAATTATACAAATTACATCAATTTTTAAAAATGTAATAAGTATCTTCTATTGATAATATGAGTTAAATTTTTGGTTTTTTTACTGCAAAAAATATTATTTTTTATTTGTACTCAGACTTCTTTTTCAAAACAATAATCAACCTTTTTATCATAAAATATTAAGCAAATGTTTTTTTGAACATATTAATGTATCTATATCAAAATTCTTACAGTAGTGTTTGAGTTAAAATATATATGTATATCTACCTAATGTAACGAGATCGGGAGAAATCTACTGTTGAAATAATAGATACACTAATGCGGATAATAATTCTTAAAAAATGCTGAATAATAATTTAAAAAATATGTAATATATTTTTTAGTACCTAATGATTATATTTTGATAATTTTTTTATGAATTTTAAAATGTTAATAGATTAGTTAAAATCAATCAGTAATTACTATAGTTACTATAATTTAAAATCATAACTTCTACCCCATATTTTCCAAAGCTAATAACACAGACTATTATCGTAAGACATTAACTTGAGTGATTCTAAAATATAACTCATTCGAATTTGATTTAAATTTTTAAAAAAAATTATCGTTTGTCAAACGAAATTGATAAGTATATCCGATATAAATATTATGTTTTGAATATATGTGATTTACTCATTGATTACACATATACATATGAATTAAATTTACAGATTTTCAAATTTAAATACACGTGATCACGTGAATCTTAATTCACGTTCAAATCCAAAAGCCTTAACTACCTATATTACCACAGGACTTCTCAAAAATGCCATAAAAATTCAAGTAGGTATTTGAAAACATAACCTTTATAAGTATTAAGTATACACATTTAAAAAAATTCCAAAACCAGAATTTAAATAAATTAAAGAAGAAAAATTGCAAAGCAAATGTGGTGAGTGGTGACTGGTAACCAACATCAACCTTGGTGTGTCGTCGAGCTTGTAAAATTTTCTACCTACACATGTCATATGAACTGATTTTTCGGAATCCAAAAAACTTTATTCTGCAATGAATACTGTTCTCGTCTGCATAAAATAAAAAAAATTATGTAAGTTATCATTCCAAGCTTTTGCATCAGAACAACAGTTGTTCGCTGAACTCGACAAAAATCTACGAAAACGAACGTTACGCCATTGAAGCATTATAATACATTAATACATATTGCATAGACGAACAGATGAGTGGTCGTATTACGTATAATAATACATATTAATTAATAAGTAAGTACCTATACGGTTCTACAATATTTAATGGAAAAATATTTGATTTTTTTTGTGTAGAGTAAAATGAATTTTAAATTTTCCAGTAAAAGTATATTTAGATTAGTTGATCATGAATATTATGTTGGTTATTAAAATAATCTCGGCGATGTGTATCGTGTCATTTAAGTAATAAAAAAAAAAAAAATGTAGCCGTACAACACTATTTCGACTTATACTATTACATAATATTTATAATAAAATTGTTTTATTACAGTCCCAAACAAAAAACTGAATAAACGATTGGTCTTGATTACTTATATTATTTCAATTTACAATGGATACTTTACCGGTCATTGACACATCGACATATTTTACAAAATAATGTTATATTATTCTGTGCTATGGGTTCGAAAAAATATTGCGATCCGCCCATGGGTTTAGTATCCGGTGCGTTATCGTTTAGATTTTCCGTAACCACGATTATTGTGATTGCTACATCCGGTTTTCGGATACCTACCGCCGATATAGAATAAACGGCAGATCCGAGTTAGGTCCCGAGTACTAGGGTTAAATCGTAGGTACTACACTAGTTGGGTCCGGGATTATTTTAAGTAAATAAACAATCCAAACGAAAAAAAAATTGTCATTTACATTGATTATAATCAATATATTTTTAGTTATTACTTTTTTGGTATTTTTAATATTATTTCTTTGTTTAGTACCTATATGTAATTGCCATTTACCTACTATTAAAAAAAATTCTAATAATTTATATTTTTAATGGCAAAAAATATAAAAAAAATAAACTGTAAAAAAACATTTTTAACCATACCTTTGGTCTAAATAGATCATAGACAGTCCTAGGTCTGTTAAAATAGGAAGGAAAATGATATTATATAGTACTCACCAAAAAAAAAAAAAAAATTAAGGACCCAACTAGTATAGCAATTTTTAATTCGAGACCCAACTCGGATGCAGCCAGAATAAAAACCTAAAAAAGATTTATAAGCGCTTAAGACGACGACAAGTCTAATTAGATACGTAATATTTGTTTCATAATTCATTTATACTATAGTCTATATTCCATTTATTTCAACTTTTAGTTTGGAACGATTGTCAACAATTAATCTATCCGAATGGCAAAAACAGTTTGAAGACAACCGACTGTCGTAAATAATGATTAATCAAATTAATATTTAAATAAATAAAAGCGTTAAATAATACTACATGCAAATCGATTATTTATATTTTGAAGAATAGAGTAATTGCATGTATTAAATTTAATCGTTTATTTTTATGATGAAGGCAGAGTTATCAATTAAAAAGTTTAAAGTATTGGATAAAAATCTAGATCAAACAAAAAATAATAATAGGAAAATTTTATTTTATTAAATAAATTACAAGTGACTTTTTACAATATGAAATTTAAAGTTGTTGAATAAATTAACAAATAAATTACTATATATAAATCACATTAGGGATCTAGTAGTTACTGATCAACGGTTGTAATCTGAATAGTTAGCATTAAAATTATATAAGTGCAGAACAGAAAATTCAAAAGAACAAAATATAAAATTTATATTCCATAAAGCCTATAATAACAGGTAAAATAAATTAAACCAAGATATTGTGACTATTTTAAATATTTTGATTCAATAAAAATGGCAAGATAATATATGTTTTCTAATTTCTTTTAGGTTTTTAATTAAATAAATGTAAAATTAAAATTTTTCCTTTAGACACAAAAAAAAAAAAAAACTTAAAAAATATTAGTTTTTTTTCAATATTTTAAGTATGTGTTTCGTTGTGAGCATATAAAGTTCGTTCAAAAGCTAGCACAGCCATAAACAATTAAAATAAAAGTAAATAGTTTTTAGTTGTCCTCCTATTTTTATATACAATTAACAACAAAAGAAAAATAATTAAAAATAATGGTCTGCATTGAAAAAAAAATACAGTTCATTATCAGCAACAATTATGAAGAGCCAAATTCACTCATCCACTTTTCATATTTGGCCAAATCATCTGACGAAACACTTTTGTTGCACTTTGCTATTGCTTCATTAAAATCTTGGAAGGACACTGGCAAATCCACTTCTTCTTTGGCCAATTGCCGAATCTGATCAGGTTTTAATCCAGCAATTTTACGTCTCATAGACATCATAGATGCGTCCCTAAACAAAAATTAGTATTATTGAAATACATTAGTTAGTATATTTAGTTACAATATGGTAAATAACTAATATGTACAATATACATTATATGTACATTTGATCAATATTTAATTACCTGCAAACATTTGTAATATCAGCACCAGAGTAACCTTTAAGTTTGGTAGCTATCTCCGTTAAATTTACATCAGGTTCTACTTTAACATCTCTAAGATTTATTCTCAGTAGCGCTTCTCGACCAGCACCTATAAATAAATATTACTGTATTAATTAATAGTGCATTTAGAAAGACATAAAATAAGTGTTTACTTTAAATGTTACATTATTTGTAATAACATTATTAGGAAGAATTTTAATTAAAGTTTTTTTTAACCATTACCAAAATGTAAAGTGACAACAGTATTATATAATCTTCCAACATATACTACCCAATCGACAATCACATAATATATTTTATGAATTACATACTAATTAAGACTAACTATTATTATAATATAAACTAATATGATATTGATAATTATTAAAATAATTTCCAAAAATGATTAACAATTTATAACATAACAAATTGGGTAATTTGTATTTACTAAAAAAGAATTAGTTATAATACTATTGAAATCACAAGTAAAAAAAATTGAAAAGCTTGTTCTGCTATAGGTGTCAAATGTATATTGTCAATGAGTAGTCAAATTCTATTTATTATAATAATATTTATGTTATTAACTTTTGAAAATACTAATTTCCCATGAAATAGTGTTCATAAGTTTGTGGTACAAAGATCTTAAAAGTAAACAAAAATATTTTAAAAATTTCAGTGTGTAGTAAAATAGATATTTATTAAAATTTCATTGCGTATAGTAAACCTAATAATATTTCTTGAATTACAACAAAATAACAAAAATTATTGAAGGAAATTCAAATATATTTAAATTTTAATCATACATAAAATATGTACATAACTTTACGCTAAACTGTTTTTTTAAATTCCAGAAATAAAAAAACTAATCAAGAATCTTGTATTAAAAATCCTTCTCATAAATAATAAAATCTTATAATTATTTTATTGATAAAATAGTTTACAAATCTTCATAAATTTAATGCAGATATTTTATATTTTAACTTTAATTATCAGTTGTGCGTAACCATAAAGACTTTTATAAAGACTTATGTTTCATATTATTTCAATTACAATATTAAATATTATATAATTGGAAATTTTAATTTAATATAATACATATAATACTAACTGTTGGGTAGAGGTATATATATACGCTTCTCCAGTCTACGTCTAAGCGCCTCATCTATATCCCAAGGGAAATTGGTAGCAGCCAGTACCATCACAATACGGCTAGCCCCAGATTCTTCTTCTGTACTTGTATCACTTAAGCCATCCATTTGGACTAAGAGTTCAGATTTCACTCTTCTGGATGCCTCATGTTCAGACTCTGAGCCTCTCCGTGAACAAAGAGAATCTATTTCATCAATGAATATCGTTGATGGAGCATGAAATCTTGCCTAAAAAAGTAGTATACATGTATTATTACTATTAATATTAAAAAATACTGAAAGATTAAATAGTAGGAATATAATTTTAATATTATGTATTGTTAACCTGTTGTAACACATGTGTTTGATGTCACGTTGATGATTATTTGTATTGATTTATATTATTTATATAAATTTTTATCATATCATAAATATCACAACTTAGAGTGATTTACTATATAATTTTAAATTTGTTTTGTTTTTAAACTAATAATAAAATATTTAGTTATATGGAGTATATATTTTTATTAAATTTCAAAATTATAATCGATATATTTTTTACTACAGTTAATTTTAATAACCATTATATGAAAATTAAACAAAATTAAAAATATTATCATATTTATAATTACAAAAACATTTTTTTTTCTTCTATTAACTAAAATACAAAAAAACAATTAAATAAATAATGCAAAAATTATGAAAAGATGCGTGTAACACACCAGGTTAATAATTATCTCATATTATACTACAATAAATAATAACTATGACTGAAAAATATTTTAACTGGTTAAAAACATAAAAATATAATAAAAACTAGACTTATTTATTTATGGTTATGTTATTTTGAATTATTCAAAAGAATAAATAATGATATTTATTTATATATTCATTAATTCATAGAAAAAACAGTACATATATAGGATGATTAAAAACTTAGATTCATAAAATACAATAAAATATCATGAATCATTGATTAATCTATTTTGTATTAAGCTAATGAATAATGATAAGCATTTTATCATAATATAAAAGAATTTTAACATAATATATGTTATCACTTATCTCTATCTACCAAGCAAAAATCCTTAATAGATTATTTTAAAATAATTATTAGTTATTATATAATATGCTAAATTGTCTTTTTATTATTCAATAATTTTGATGATACAAATAATATAAAACTTACCATTTCAAAAAGGAGCCTGACAAGTTTCTCAGATTCACCTCTATATTTAGAAGTTAGTGTTGATGAGGATACATTAAAAAAAGTAGTCCTGCATTCAGTTGCCACAGCTTTTGCAAGCATTGTTTTACCTGTTCCAGGTGGGCCAACCATTAAGACTCCTTTCCAAGGTCGCCGAATTCCCTTTAAAACATAAATTTTCATACAATGAATTTCACACTACATTTCCCAAACATTTAAATTTTCAAACAGTTTTAGTTATTGAAATAAACTATAATGTACCTTAAAAAAATCTGGCATCCACATAGGAAGTACTACTGCTTCTTCTAGGAGACGTTTAGCTTCATCTAATTCAGCTATGTCACTCCACCTTATATTAGGGTTTTTCTGTACAATATCTCTTTCTATAAAATAAAATAAAGTAAAATAAATATCATACGTAGGTAAGCATATTATATTATTACCTAGCATATCAACAAGGTCTTGATCATATGAGGAACAATCAAATCGTTTTTCTTCTGGCTTCAAAACTTCTTTTTCATCCTTATCTTTTTCACTTTTATCAGTCTAATATTATAAATATAGAATTATTAAAAAAATCTTAAACCAAAACATTTATATTTACCGTTCCATTAGTATTATGACCATTAGTATCTTTTTTTGGACCTTTTTTAACATCATCATTTTTTTTTGCTATCTGAGATCTAGTGGCACTGTTACGGGTATTATTAGGCCCAATTTTTTGATTCCTATTGGTCACTCGTGATGTTTCATTACGCCGAGATGTTTTCTGTGGCCTAACTTGTGGCCCAGGTCTATGTTCAACGGGTGATGGAGGTGGCCAAACATCAGGATCATTATTATTTGCTGGGGGCCATTCTAAGGAGCCACTGCCATTGACCTGTTGACGGGTTGTTCCAAACCATGACAATCCATCAACGGGGGATATATCTTCATTTCTATCATTTCTATTATTTCTATTCACTAATAAAAGATTAAAAGATAAAATTATTTAAATTTTAGTTAGGTACAATATGATTGAAAGATAGTGGTGTCGTATGCTATCTACGTATAAAATAATGTCCACACGTGATTTTATAGTATAATCTTAATTCGTTTTAAATCTAAATACTTCATGGATAAATGAAAATTATTAATGAATGTTCTCAATTAAAGTTGAAAAGTATTTATTTATATTGTCAAAAATTTTTTGTTATATTTATGGAATGCCACCATTCTTCTTTAAGCTGCCTTTTCAGCAATTTAGTGGCATCGTGCGATTTTATATCATGTTTCACTTTTATATGTCGCCAAACATATTTATATATTCCATCATTTGAATTAACAATTGAAAGCAAAGCGATGCAGTTTCTTTTGAACTTAAAATAATCGAACTTATAGAATGTAGATAATAATATTACGATTGTATAGATATCATACAACGGTAAATAATATTTGTAGATAATAAATGACACAAGAATTTATTGTGTAGATAGCATATGACACCTCTACCATTTCATTATAAAAATAATTCTAGTACACTTACATGCTGGAGTAGATGCACTAAGTGGCCTCTCATTCCTTTCAAAGTCATTACTTCTTAGTTGTTTTAATTTATTTAAGGTATTTGAATACATTTTTAACTGTTCACATTCATCATTGATTTGACGTTGAATCTAGAGATAACAAATAAAATATAAATAAAATAACAAACAATAATATAAAATTCTGAAACAGATTTCACTTACAGTTCGCCAGGATTCTCGGCGTGCTTGAATATCAACAGTGGACAAGAATCGTCCCAACTGTAATTTGGCTCCTTCATAATACACTAGTGATGAATCATAATTACCAGTAAGAGCCATCTCACGAGCCATGTTAATACTTTCACGTATTTCATCAATCGATACTGCCATAACGGTCATCACAGCTGTAAACAAAAATGTCAAGTTGATAAAATCTAACCAAAAACTTCAAAGCAATAAAAGTTTGCGTGGAAATATTATAATTTAGGTACCTTTAATGATATGAATTTGAGCTAAGAATTAAATTGTGACTAAGACAATATATTATTGAATAATGCATTTTACAGGCACCCATCATTAGGAAATTGGAGCCTAGTGTAGAACAGGAACATAATATTTCTAAAACATAAAATACAAATCAAAAAAATAAAAAACGATGATATATTATTTTATTTTATTTTTTTTTTTTTTAACGAATTTACCATTAAATTGTATTGACCGATAAGTCTCGACAAATACTTGTAAGGTTACCCACTAAAAATAATAGCAGTGATTCTTTAATATTTACAATGTAACAAGAAGAATTAAACAACAAACAAGCAACCACTATAACTGTTAAATGATTTCAACGACTTGTGACAATTTTGTTTTAATTTTTTGCAGGAAAAACATTATCAAATTATGTTATTTTGAGGTACACTCTCTTGTTTAGAATTCAATGACGCTATAAACTGTTATCTTATCAGCAATATATCTTTTGCTTGATACATCCTTGCATGGAGCAAAAAAACGGGGGAAACTAAATTATTCAAATATGGTTATTGGTTACTGTTTATTCTTGAATAAGCCCATTTGTAGTTAAACGGTTTTTAATAAATTATAGAAATATCTCAAACATGACAAAATCAATAGTTTTTATTTATTATAAAATATAAATTCGGTAATAAGCATTTTAAATTAATGAATAGTGTTTCAGATTTCCAATCCAAAGTCAGAAATTAAGAAGTTTCGGAAAATATACTTTTTTAAGAAAAATCAATAGTTCTATGAATACTTAATAGATTGATAAGGTGGTTGTAAAAAAGAAGATTTTAAAGGTAAATTTTTCACTTATAATAGACATTAGTCAATTAAAAAAAAAAGAAATTAAAATATACAACAATATTTACAGTAGTCTTGTTAATCTGACATAATATACAAGTATAGGATCATAGTAGGTATTGGCCGGATTATCGAAAAAATCAAATATTAAAACAGAAACCAGATAAAAATTAAAATGTATTTATTTCCATTTTACGTTTATCGAATTACACGAGTAGATAAAATTAGAATCACCGACTAGTTAATATTTTTTGTTAAAATCTTAACAAAATTATTGGATGATTTAATTACATATGAATTACTAAAGCGATAATTCAAAGATAAAACTATAACTGGATGAGGTAACAATTTATCGGACTGACACGGTGTTAGAATATCAAGACTCTTATCAGAAGACTCTATCACTTTTTAAAGCTATGATTAGGTATTTAATTTATATTTATATTTTACTTATAAGTTATAAGTCATATTTTAAGTCTATTATAGTCATCCTAACCGTTTTTATAATGTATACAATCAAAGCGTTTGACTCGTTCTTTGCCATTTAATTTTTCAATCGTTATTAAATATATGAATATTATAATGTATATATACACAGTAGCGTATCCAAGGGGGGAGCAAAGAGGCCATGGCCCATGGCCTATCTTCATTGGCCGTATTAGCTATAAGTTTTTTTTAAAGAATTGTATTCTTTATTCGTATACATCATACCCGCTTAATTTTTTTCTTTTTGGTAGTATATTTGGTAAAATGTTAGATAGTGTGTGCCTCCCCCTCTAAAAACAATTTTGGATGATACGCCATTGTATATATACCTTACGGCTTACATTATCTATACTACTCATATAAAGTATGTGTACATTTTAAAATTACAGAATACTTCATCAAAATTCATTGATTACTGTAATGTTGTATCTAATTTTCTATACTAATACCTTATACCTGAACTATCATTGTTGATAATGTATATTAAAATCGAATAAATTATCAGCATTGGTAGATATAGGTACAAATGTTCTATCTTCAAAGCTTATATAGGTATCGTATTGCATATATATATATGGTCAGTTCACAAATGATACATATAATATAGTCAGCTGCACATACATCGTCATTATATGTACATTGTTTATACATTTACCATATATAGCGCGTATTCTATCTGTTCTTGACATATTTCTCCTCCACCTTAGACTTTAATATTGTGTATAGTATAATGGTATACGAAGAAAACACCAACGCACAATAATTATGACTATATAGTGAAATATAGTTTAGCGCAAGAGAATCAAAGCCAAATTAGAAGGCCGTCGTATGGTCAGAGTACCTATGCGTATAGTATAGAAAATAATAAATGAGCACGAGACACAAATACAAATATGTGAATACCTGTAGCTAAGTGTTAAAAATAATAATATATATATATATATATATATATATATAATTGCAATGTATCTATAACACAGATGTTGGACGACTGCGGATCTACGGAATAATATGTTAAATTATAGAATAATAAGAGTATTGAAGTTAATCATCGGTAATATATTTTATCCAAATAATTTTTGTTACTATTCATTATTTAGCGACTTATTGATTTGAATACATATAACAGTATAGAATGTATAAAAATATTATAAAAATGTATAATAGGATAAAACGAAACGCACAGACGCATATTATACTATATAGGTCAACGTTAAGTGAGGAATCTATATCATACAACCCTAACTAAAATTGTACGTTAATATTTTTTAAACTTTATTAATTATTATATTTAATATATTTAAAAACATACATAATATGTATGTATAAAAATAAAAATAACGACTTGACAAACCATGTGGATAAATTTTGGTAAATTTTATATTATACTATAGCAGTGTTTAAAGAAACCGACTTAAATCGTAAATTGAAGTGATATTTTATATCCTAGCGACCTTTAATTTTGCTTACATTGTTTGTTGTTATGCAAAGAATGATATTTTTGCTTAAGCGTACCTATAGTAAAATACTTTAAAGTTTATGCCAAGTGAAATATCAAACTATACTGATATATTTATATGTATTCAAATTTTAATATTTAATATATTAATGATTTGAGTAACAATATGTATAAAATGTAAATTATACATAATTACAAGTATATACACAACAATTTACGCTTTTGAAAATTGCTAACGTGATTGGACTTTAATAATATAGAGAGTGAGTTGTTTTTCGTTTAAATCTTAAATACATAATATAACTATCACACGAAAGTCGATATCTGCACACTGCACAATAAAGAATCCAGACGACATTCCTGTATTGTTTTCGTGTTTTTCACTCGAAAAACTTCGCGCCATAAACAAACTGGTTCAGACTGATTTTGTATAGGCCAATGCAACTTTCTATATTCCTCCAAACAATTTAATAGAAACAACTAATAATAGTAATCGATGGATCGAAACAAATAAATATCGCTATAAATCGTTTGATATGTTTTGATAACATAAATTATATTATAGAAATAAAAGTGCATTTATGATTTAAATATTGTAGTTTTTAGTAAACAAGAAATAAATGTGAACATTGGGTTTGTATTTTTTATTTTATTCTAAAAAAATAATGAAACCACAATTTTTTTAGTGTTGTTTCGAAACTTTATAACAGAAATACATATTGCGGATAGCATGCTTACCATTCAGTAATTATACCAATTATGTAAACACAAAGTATCGAATTTATTTTATTCATAGGTTATCATTTTTATGGCATTATAAACTATGTTTATTAAATTCATAATTAATTTAATAATACTATTTTTAGCGAATTAACTTATTTTTAATTAATGTTAAAAAAATTACAAACATATTAAACATAATCAATGACAAAGAATTTTGGTAGGTATAACTATTATTTAAGTCATGATTAATACACGACATAACACAGTAAATACATAACAGTAAATTATTTAGGTATTATGAATTACTATATTGTTTTTTAAATACCTATATATACGGAATACATACAATTTTAGAATTAACAAAATTATAAATTCATTGATATTTTAACACATATATTAATATGGTTGAGCGTAGGTCTTAGGTATTTGTTGTTTTGACACATTGAACAACAAATATTCAACGGGCGGGATACACCGCTCACACATACATAGGTACGTCACTCATACAAACATTTATATACGTACATTATATATATATTTATTAATATTTATGCATGTATAAGGCAAGTTTCCATAAATGAACATCAAAAATTACTAATAATAAAATATATGAATGTACTTATGCACCTTCAATCATCACTCTACAGAATTAAACCTTGTGTTTTGCACATTGTTTAAATATACGAGTATATGAATTATATATATCTCTATTCATAAATTACGGAATACTTAAAGAATAAAAATTTTCCTTTGGTATAAATTTATACATTTTTACCTCCTGTTACGTATTTCTTTAATGGATATTTATTATACTATCTCCTCAACTATTTCTCACTTTATCCAATAGACTGTATTGTTAAGAAATATAATAATCGTAATAGATCCTATATTAGAAGTGTTTATTTATTTTGTATTTTTTTGCATTTCATTGCATTTTTAAAGTCATTATTACAAATATCGCGTTAATTTTGTATATTTAAGCTCATTTTTGTTTATTTTAAGCTTTTTTTTTTAATATGTGTTGTATAGGTAATCCCAATTACCTACTCCAGTCCATTGGTATTGAAAAAGTAAAATAATTAATTGTCAACTCAAATTTGAATATATTTATTTAATTTACTTTTTAAAATAAAATTCTCCCTATTTTGTGTAGTATAACAGATGAATAAATAATAATTATTTTAAAATTAATTTTTTTTTTTTTTGCTCATTTAAGTATAATATGTTTTGGTCATTTTTTTAAAGTTTTTAAGTAGGTCATTTTTGCATTTTTTTTAGTACATTTTTATGTATAATTTCAGTCATTAAAATCTTAGTTCTATTTATTATAATACATATTTTTAGTTCAGTATAAGTATACATAATATGTAAATAATTTAGATCTATTTCTGTCTTATTAATACATGGTGCACAGAGTTTAAAAGTATATAGGTATATAAAATACCTATTAGGTAAATAAATTATATTTCATTTCAAAACAATAGAATATAATAGTATATAATATGATGCACAAATGATAAATAAAAATAAGTCTTAACAAAAAAAAAGTACTTGTATAATATTATATAAAGTACTATATTTTATCGTATCGAGTATCGACAAAACGGAAGATTGTAAAAAAAAAAAAAAA